CCCCAAAACCCCAAAACCCCAAAACCCCAAAACCCCTAAGCGCAAAAGTAATTGAAGCATGAATAAATATGATAATTATTGGTTTTTCCTCCAAAAGCTGATGCCTCCCAGGTAAGAAGAAATAGTCCCCACTTTTCTTTCTCCTCTAATGCTTTCTTGGGAGTCTTCATTCTGACTGCCAGTGCTGGTCTGGCTTCCTCTCTGACTACTATGAGTAGACAGCCTTTGAATTTGGTTCTGAATAGATTTCATCTCGATGCCTAGCTTTTCTTTCTGGCCTGCAGAATCTGCATATTTGACCTTGGCTTCGGCTAGCTGATTTTTCAACAAATCATTCTCCTCGGACAGCATCTTAACATTTTTGCTCAAACTTTCATATTGAGCGAAGATGTTGAATAAGAAATCAGCTGGATCCTGGATCTGTCCATCAGTGCTATATTCCTTTTTTTTATTCTCAATGATATCTAGAAGGATTGCAGAGTCTTTCTCCGGAGGCTTTGGGACTTCTGAATAATCCTTTTTATCAAGTTTACAGTTTAACTGAAAACATTTGTTGGTTAAATAATCAATTTTCATTTTAAGCTTATGTCTCTCAGAATGGTTCTCAAGCTCCTTAGTTTCAAGTTCTTCTTGCTGAGCTTTAAGCTCCAGTTTGATAGAGCTGAGGTGCTTGTTCTTTTCTTCAATCAAACCTTTCTGCTTCTCAAGTTCTTCAGCCTGGCTGATTTGCTTCTGCTCTGCTTCTTCTTTCTTTGTGGCCATTTCTCTGAGGAGTGTCTTATAGTGAGAGAGTTCATTTGACAGCTTCTGAATCAAGAGCTTATCCTTGTTCATGCTCATGCTTGCCTGCCCTCTTGCACTTTTTCAGGCAGATCTATTGCCTCAGTTAGAAATGAATGATGCTGACTTAGTGTCGCTTTCAACATATGAACTTAGGTTTGTCCCATCTGTTGTCGAAGCATTGACTTGATTGCTCATACTCGGTTCATAAACCATACTGTTGGAGCACTCTGAAAAGGTATCACTAATAGTTTCAGTCGTTACATTAGATTCCGTCTCAAGATTACTACTTGACTCAATCTCATGTTGCGAAGTGGTCAAGAAGACAGCTGCTTTGGGGTCAAATCACTTTGCAAATGTCAGCTTCATTGTGCTTTGAGGAGATATTCCCACAAACTCAGAGAGGTTAAAGGGGAGTATTCCAACTGGCTTCATCTGTCTCTTCGTTATGGCCATTATCTGCAAATATCATCTCTTTCGTTTAAACTGACCAGGATTATTTGGATCAGGATGGAACTTTGTAACAAGAGACATAGTTTCAGAGAAAGAAGTAGTAGAAGTCTTGGGCTCTACCACAACTTTCTTCTTTGTTTCCAGCTTTTTAGACCCTCTAATCCACATCAGCTTAATTTTTAAGGCTGAAGGAACAGATAGTTGAATTTTCTTGAGGTTGATATCGATCTGTAGAGACTTGGCTTGCATTTGAATATTGTCCATCTTAGATACATAGGGCTTTTCCTGTATCTGGCTTTCACATTGAAGAACTTCACTATATAACATGGTGAGCAATGTGTGCTATCTTCCAGTAAATAAACCTATTTGCATTAGCTTGTAAGCTAAGATTTCCCCTTAGGTAAAGATGCCAACAGCTTATTTTTAGCTTAGCCTATTCCATATCTGCAAGAACCCAGGAAGTTGCGAAAATAAATGGAGTTTGGTAAAATGTTATCGCGGTGGTTACCTATCCATACTGTTGCAAAAATATTAACAGTTAGATTCAAAAATATTTAATTATCAGGGGTTTTGGGGTTTTGGGGTTTTGGGGTTTTGGGGTTTTGGGG